AGAGAGGATGTGAGGTCACTAAAGCAATGCTGCCACTGGGGATAGCTGCAACCTGCAAAATATCAGTTCCAAGATTCTCTGTCTATATTCTGTGACTTAGATTCCCATAAAAACAGAATGCCTCTCTCAAAATATGGCAGGGATAAGAGAAAAATCAAAAATCCTGATTTGTTTCATGGCAAAAGTTGAGGATAATGGGGAAATTGGGGGGTTGGATGTGCTGCACGTGGAGCAGTCCCACAACACCACGGCTCCTGCACAATCACAACTCCTCTCCTTGACTGTACACTTCCAAACTTTGGAAGAAAGCAAATATATTCTCTTTCTGAAGAGGAACACAATCATCTGTTGAAGAATCCAGTTACATTGACTTACCAGGCTAATTCCCCTGTACTGCTTGCCTGCTCAAACCTACCTGGATCAAAAGCTGGGCCTCCTCAGAGACAGGAAGATTGGAAAATAATGATTTTGTTCAAATCTGAGCCTGCACACAGGATCTTAAAAAAATCCTCCAAAACACAAAAAATGTCATTCACCCTTAAATATCAACCCTCCCCATGCCTACAGTATTGTGTTTACTCATCCTGCCTTATTACTAATGCTGCTGTCAGCAGATACCCCCAAAGCCCACAGGCTCCTTCCCTCCCTCTTTCCTGTCCTCAGCAATTGCAGATTGCCATCCTCTATCAGCCAATTCATCAGCCCTTGTGGCAGATGTCTGTGTGGTGGATCTAAAGGTTCCAGCCCAGCAGATGACTCAGAGTTTAGCATGCTGGGGCTTTCATTTTGCATTGAAAACTTTCACCCAGAATAGTGTTAAAAGTATGCAACATCAAGCACTCCAAAGTCAGGAATGGATAAAGAAAGGTCAGTTTTGCAGAAATAATTTAAATTTTAGTACATATGCGCATGAAAAAGGAGATACTAATTAAGGGGCACATCCATTAAATGGTAAGTTGTTTTTTTCAGTTTTGGATGGGTCTCTGGCTCACTCAGGGCACAAGGTGAATAGCATCTAGCAAAGGAATCATTTGCTTGTAGGACTCCAGCTTCAATTTAATAGGAGGTGGAAAATAAGCAGAACAGAAGAAATATAGAAGAAAGAACACAAAGTCCAATGTTGAGAGTGCCTGGGAACCCTGAATCCCATGTCTGCAATTTTACTTGGGAGGAGCAAATTACTTTTGGGAGGAGCAAATTACTTGAAGCAGATTCCTCCCAAATGGTCAGTCACATCCTCATCCTTGTCTCTTAGGACCTAGGAGGACCAAATGACAGAAACAGTCAATCCCAATCTTCCATGCAGAAGCAAGGGGTAGATACAAGACAGTGCAGGTATCAGTCTTTGCTGAGTGACATGAAACAAATCTGATTCCAGGCATCCTAAATCATCTATCACAAATGAATGGGTGTGATCATAACTGCTTCCTATCCACACAAAGATGAAATATTTGTCTCTCAGAGGGGTCCCTCCCCAGAAATAATCCACAGTTCTGCAATGCTCCCAGGGTATAGCAGCGAGCAGAACAAAAGAGCCCACGAGGAGATGAGCAGGGCACAGTAAACACAGGGCAAGGCTGCACAATGAGCACTGAAGGTAAAACATTGAGTAGCTGCTTATTGTGTGGGAGTTTTCCTTTGGAGAACTCAGTGAGGGAGAGGTCTCGAAGGGAGAATAACAGCAGCCCCTGGGGGAAAAGGCCACATCACAATGCTCATAGCAAGGGGGCTGAGCTGACAGTGAGTGCGCTCTCTAAATCTGTTCTTACAGGGTGCTGGAATGGCTCACATGAACATGCTTTAACAAGCTACAAAAAAGAGCCAGATGAGTTGTATTGAATGTATTTAAACAATACATTCATGCTCTGAGATCATTCTGCTACCTGCTCCAGCACAGACAGGGAAACCATCAGCAGGTGTCATCTGGTGGAGTGATGGGAAGACACTGCTGGCTTGTGTATGGGCAGGCAAAGGGCTTGGGAACTGAAATATCCCCAGCCAGCAGCACATGATCTAGAGGAGACTATCACTTCAGTCTCATCTGCAAGACTGGTACCACTAGAAACAGCTAAGAATATTCCCTCACTCCATGTAGGCCAACATGATGGCACAGATCATCAGAGTTACTGAGTCAAAATCAGTGGAGATCAAAATTCCTATTGTTTCTCATTTCTCAACCCATCCATTCCCTCCCAAGGGCAATTATGGAATCTGAAACACTTTAAAAATAAAATAAAATAAAATAAAATAAAATAAAATAAAATAAATAAGCACACTTTGTAAAACCCAGAAGAACAGTGAACCACAAGTGCTATGGATTATTTTTACACAGTAACTACAGCAAACACTCAGCCTTGGAACACTCAGTGCTGGAATCTCTGTAGCTGTGGCATTGTGTGTGTGCCTCATAACCACTTCACTTATTTCTGTGTCACTCATCCTCCCTGCTCCAGAATGAACTTTTTTTCAAAGGAAAGAGCTTATCTCCCATACTGCAGAGCAGAGGAAAAATCCTCCTATGCAGCAATATTTAAAACATGGTTTTATGGTCTTATGGCAGCTAATTTTCCTTAAGTGATTTAAGGGAATGAATACATCTAAAATTCCTGCACTGAGCTGTTCTGCAATGGCAACATGAAGCCAAACTTCCCCTTGCTTTAAGCAATCCAGTTTTCTGTGGACAGCCCTTCACAGCAGATCTTGTCTGCAATGGGAGGGATGAAGGTTATTTTTTTTTTATTACATAATTTCTCAGGGAATTGGGTTTTGCATTTCATTTCGTTTTCCCCAGTGTGGGAAGACTTTAGATGGGGAGGGGGTGGCAGGACAGATGTGTTCCAATGCAAAATGCCTGATGTGACACGGTTTGACACCAGCTCTCCTGCAGCAGGTCACCTGTGCATGCAGCCAGCCACTCATCATGTATTAGTCATCTGAAAGTAACATTCTACCCCTGAAAAGCAACTAAAATTTTTTAGCTGCCTGAAGGGATTCAAAGCAGGTTTTATTCTGGAACTCTGTCATAACTCAATAAGAGCAGTCACTGCTAAAGCAGTGCATGGACAGCCCCATGGCACCCGGCTTGTCTCCCCCTTTTGTCCCAGCCCTTTGGATATGGTCTTTTTATACCAATATGACTGGGATCACAGGGAATCTGGTATTTCCTGAAAATATCAGTAATCCCATATACTGCATTGCATTGCTGAGAATCCCTGAAACTGCCAGAAAAGCTGGTGTTGATAAGGCCAGACAAGAAGGTTTTTTTGGTGGGTAGCTAATTCACTAAGAGATGGAATTCTGAAGAGCAACCTGAACTTTGCTGGTACTTTAATAAAAACAAAAATTCTAAAAAAGTACTTTAAAAAATTAAATAACTTTGAAAATTAAATGTTTAAAAAGCTCCCTTTTCTTTCCCTCAGAAAGAAATGAACTGGAACTGGTTCATCTCAGGTTGATCACTGGAGAGAGCGGGAGACAGAAAGATGGAGGAAAAAAATATTTCCATTTCAGATTAGCTCTCACCAAACAGTTTTGGTTTTGATTTTTCATTTTAGCCACCATAGCAAATTAATTCATTCTTCACACATAGGACAGCTGGAAGCTACCAGAATTTTCAAAGATTCCTTAGAATGGGGTGAAGCTGAAAAGAACTTCCCCCTACGTCCAAGAATAGCTTTACTTTACTGACAGTGATTTTTCATAATTTCAGGATTTGTTGCCTTACTGGCTACAAGCACTTCCCTACACCCAACTTTCTTGTAATGTTTAAAGACCTCTTCATTCTTGGGAAAAAACTTCTTCTTAAAGCAATCTGCATGCTGCATTGACTAAAAGTTAACTTGTCTTGCTTTTTGGGGTAGAAAACAGAGGAAGGACAAGTCTGGCTCTGAAGCTTCTTTCTATGCCTTTCCATCATCATCATCATCACTTTAATAGAGCTTAGGAGCCTTGGTCAGAGGCACAATTCACAGTGCGAGGTGCTGCAGAAACTGAATAAAAAGACAAATTCTGTGCCAAACAATTAGTGGTCTAAGAAAATATTTTTCATGCAATTGGATTCCAGTCCATATGTAATGATCTCATCTATTACCCTATCTTCCTTGTACCTAAAAACTCTTCTGTACAGGTATTACTGGAAGATAAAATGTCTAATTAAGATGTATTGGGAAATCCAGGAGTTAAATTAAAGGAAGTCTTATCCTATACATGATGTAGCCAGGGGTAAGAATCCTCTTTCTTTATTAGCAAGGCTAGCCAGGTTCTTTTTCACAGAAACAAAAAGGAAAGAAAGAAAAAACAAAAGGAAAAATTAGCAAAACTTCGGGGACTTAAAGATTCAAATTCCTTCTCCATTGTGAGAAGCAAAAAGAAAAGACAAATACCAGGAATCCTATAATGAAAAAAATAATAATCTATAAAATCTCCTCTTATTTTTTGGTAGTGATTTTTTTCCTACCCATATCCATTTTATTTTTCCCAGCAGTTTTTCTTAGGTGCCACGTTCAATAATCCTTCTGCGCTTTGATGTCAAACATTCAATAACTGTCTGCCTCCCTCCCACTCCTCTTCTCCATATTCTCCTCAATCCATCTCCTCTGATTAGCCAAGATTTCACCTTCAAGAACACCTCTGCTTCTCTGAGTGAGCATGAGCGTGTGCGTGTGTCTTTATATAATATTTGCAAACATTCTCCCCCTCCTGCCCTGCACACCACACAGCCACCACCGCCAGAGCCCCGGATTAAGCATTGCTGCCATTCCCTAATTCAATTTGGGGGGCCTGCTGTTTTGAATCCTGCTCAGAGCATGACAGCAGCTCAACTGAATTTAAGCCCTGCTTTCAGAATTATTCCATAGTTAATCTGAGCTGAGCATCATTCCATGCGCTTTCTCCACTTCTGGTGCTCGCTGTGGCCAAAGCCCAGCTGTTCCCTGATCCCCTGCAGTGGAGGGGTGGCTCCCCCAGCACCAGGGGGGCTCAGCAGCTGTGTCCCCACTCACCGGGTTGTTGTACATGTCGATGATGAGCTCCTTCACCCCGTGCAGGGTGGGGTGAGCCCACGGAGAGGGATTGGCCCAGTGCCGGTTCAGGTCGAAGCCCAGCAGGGAGCACCTGCACACACACAAACAACAGACACAGAATTAGCAGGGCTGAGGCCTCTCCTTGGGTCAGATGCAGAATTAGGGTTACATTCTGTGGCTGAAGTAGTTAAACATTGCTCTCATGGGGGACACCAAGCAAACCCTTCCCTGAGGAGAGCCTGCAGCAATGGCACCTTTCAGAAATAACATGACCAGTGAAATAGCAACAGGAACAGCTCTGGCCATTCAGCCTTCTCCCCCTCCACAGCCTGTGCTCACTGCATCCTTTGCCATTCCCCAGCTTGGATGTTGCCCTGGTTTTTTAAGATTTTCTAAGCCTTCTGATGTTGATGTTCTTTTAGTGAACTTTGTCACACACTTTCTGTAAATAACTCATTGTTTTGCATTTCTTTATGGAGGAGGAGAGAGTTGACAGACTGTTGGTTTGACCAGTGTCATTGGAGAGGTGGCACTGTCACCCTCCAATCCGCTGTCACTTTTGGAAAACTATAAATGTTGGAGTCAGAAAATAAACTTCCCTTTTTTTCTTCACCTTGAGAATAGCAGTGTGAGCTTTCGTGTCCTATAGCGACAATTGACAGCCTGGAGCAGCCTTGCCTGATCTTGGAGGTTCCCTTCTCTTTGGAGCTCAGGCTGGGGGTGATTCACACACTGCTCCACCAAACTGGACCTTCAGCTTGTCCTCAGTCAGGCTCTGACTCAGCAGGGCTCTTCATGATCAATGGCCATCAGGTTTGTGCTTAAGGGATTTAAAGCATGAATGTCATTGTTCCACTAACCCCGGGCCTCTGTCTCTTCCCCTCCTGCAATTGCCTGCACAAAAGTTAAGCAAGCAAATCAACAAGTTAAAATGATTATTGGCCATCAGATGCTGTAGGCATTGGAGCATGGATGCCACCTTGGCTTCTCCTTCCTGCCCGGGCTCAGATCCCTCCCAGGACCCTGTCCTGACTTGGATTCTGCTGCTCACAGCCCCACAGAGGAGCTTCCAAATTCTTTGTGAGGCCCCACTGAAACTCAGGAGGCTGTTGACAGAGTGAGTGCTAAAACTGAAAATTTGAAATTTGAGAAAGAAATTAGAAAGCTGGAAGTGGCACAAGTAGGAAAAGGAGGAAATCAGGCATGTTGCTGGCTGCAAAGATCACACAGAAAACTTTTGGCTACTGATACATGCAGGAAGAGAACTATGTCATCTCAAGCTAAGCTTGGGATGAGTTGGGTAAATTCTTGCTCAGGAATTCCATAGAAGATCATACAAATAATAGAAGCCCAGGTAGAGATGCAACTTCTTCTGTAGTTAAAACAAACAAACAAAAAAATCAACCATGCTACTAAGCCTTAAAGCTTCTTGAGAAAAGAAGAACTTTCATTGATCCCATGTCTATTACAAGAATGCCTGTTCAGCCTTAATCTTTTAAACACACCTATGCAAACAAGAGATTCATTCCTGCGGTGCTATCCTTTGACAAAAAAAAAAAAAAAGATCTAAGAATCTGAAGACCCAAAACATAGGTTTAATTGGCAAAGAGAAATGAAAATAAAACTAACAAAGGTGAAATATTTAAAAAAGTGAGGGGATGAAACCAGAGGATGAAATTCATTATCAAACCTGATGAAAAAATATTTTCCTATGAACCAAAGGATACAAAATTAATGGGACATTCTTTTGTAAAAATTCCTATGGGTATCTAGGCAAGCAGGAGCTGCTCTGCTCCTTGGGCTGACACAACCCACCCATCAGCTCTGGGAGCTCAAACACCCAAGTGCAGCCCTGCAGCTCCATCACTGCTGCCCTGGGTGCCTGCTGGGGTGCAGAAGCCACCTCCTTGTCGTGGTGGCCACTTCTCTGCTTGTATAGAAACCAGATGGATTTTTTTTTTCCTGCACATTTTAAACAACTACAGCTCCACAGACAACTCAGAAAGTTGCTGCCATCCCACTCTACAGCATATTGTGTTAGATTTCTCTCTCTCTCTCTTCTTTTTGCCTGTATGTAAACTCTCTGCACTCGGCTCTACTAAATCCTATCTTCTTTTGAACTCATAGACATTAATAAAAACCAGAAGTACTTCCAGAGACGCAGGTGGAATTACACCAGGATAAAACTGGCAGAAGAGCAGAATGAGAGGAATGAGTTTTTCATTTAATAAAAGCAGAAACTGCCACGAGTTTTACTGTATTTTGGCACAGTTCCCAAGAAAACAACATCCTTACTGTAGAAAAACTTTCTTAAGAGGTCAGAATCTGAACCTAGATTTATATACTTAATGTGTCACATTTACATTTTCTTTTAATATTTAACACTAGAGAAAATGAGCACACTGTCAATATTAAATTTGGGGGTTGGGACTTTTTAGATAACTTTATCTAAGTCATCCCCATAGAGAAAAGAGGTAAGCAATACCTAATTTTTATAAGATTCTAAGTAAGGATCTTATAAAAATACTGCAATTTGCAGTATTTGGATGTGTCAGGAATGTCTGGTAAGAGATGAAGCTCATAGTTTATTTAAAACAACAAGAACAGTTGAAAGTAGTTGTCTTTACTTGAAAAGACTTTATAAACAGAAGGAAGCAATGCTTAACAAACAAGTTATTCATTTGGGAAGCTCCTCTGAGCTCTGTTTAATAGGAATCCAAATTAATTTCCAAATATCATTTAGCAAGTCTTTGATGTGGTATATCACATATTTATCAATGTAACAACAATTAATTAACTTTCTGATGTAGGCATTACTATTTCTCTCCAGTCTGGAAACAGTGTAATATTTTCTCCCCGCTTCCACTTTCCAAGTCTTTTTTCTTTCCTTTTTTTGCCTAAAGACAAATTTGTATCTACCACAGCCTCTCTTTATTCATCTGCTGCAAACTTGTGGCCTCTCTAAGGAAACATCAAGTTGTGTTCCTTGGTACTTCAGATTTGATTATTGACTCTATTGCATGTGGAGCTGTCTCCCAGAGCTCACGTATATCAGGACATGGCCAAAACACACGGAGAGCGTCTCCCACGTGCCCATTACAGATCCTGTATTCATTTCATTATCTTGCTCCCAGCTGATGTGATCTCCCCCATGGCTAATGCCTCCAATGCGAGAGCTTGAGCAGGATAACTTTAAAATTGCGTCTTGCACTGCTTTTTAATTCGTCCTCCCAGTCTTAAACCAGATAAATTCTGGAGCGCTTTGCTGCTGGTTCCACTGCTTAGCTGTTTGCCTGCTGCTTCAAACACTGGGTAGGCAAAGTAGAAATACAGATATGCTCTGGAAACAGCAGGTCCATGGTGGGAAACAAGTGTGTCCTAAAATAATACATAATCTCTCAATATTTGAGATCTTTTACTCAGAGTGCAAGTGTTGCCATTTGCTTCACTACAATTCCTCACATGGCTGTAAGTGTTCCCCTAATTTAGGAAGTGCCTCCAAATCTGCCCTATACAGATTATATTTATTTTGTGCTGTAAATAAACTAATGTGCTCAGTATAAAATTAACAAGGGGGAAAAACCTGCTAAATTATATCAAAGTACTGCTTAAGGATGCTCTTAGAAGGGGACACAGAAGGCAAAAAATCAGGAAACATTTCAGACTCCAAGAGGTACAAGGGAAGACAAAAACAGCTTCAGAATTAGTGAGGGTTGGGACAAGGGCACTGGAGGATCCCCCATTCCAAGAGCATTAATGACCATGCCCATGAATGCTGTTATGAACGTGGCAGGTCACAATGCCACAGAGCCTGATGAGAATGATGGGCTGGCACAGACTCTCCCAGATCAGGGAAAAAACCGGTCAGAATAGATAGCTACAAGCAAAGTAACAACCTGCACCTATTACCTGATTTTGGTCTTCATTCCTACTGTAAAAACCTAGGATTTGGTCACATAGTCATTGCAACAAAAATGACATATATGTAATTTAAAGCATTTAAGCTGATAACCATTGTTTGAATTTTGGATTATGCTTGCTATAGTTTGCTAGATATAGAGACCACATGCTGTGCTTCTGCTTCGTGACTGAATGTTCATTTAAATCAGGTTCTGTGAATATTCTTGTTGAATTAGAATTCGTGTTTCACCAATGTTTTCCAGCCTTTTCCTAAAATTTCTGTTTTCTGTAAGTAGATAAATTTATTGCAGTGTTTATAAATTTACATAAACACAGTGCAAATTCAGTCAAAGCAAATGAGTTTCAAAATTGCACTGGAAACTGAAACATTTTGCAGTATTCATCCCTCCCTACTTGGGAGGCAGCCAGATCTGAAGAGGTTACCAGCTCAACTCAGTAAAACCAAAGATGCTCAGACCAGCACCCAGCTTGCTGGGCAGTTCTCTGGACAGAAATCCTTTGCCTCTGGGACTGAAGTCATTGCTGCTTTCAAGGATTTCTTACGCAGCTGCTTTAGTGACAACATCCTGAGGAAGGATTTAGTACCAAGGCCCATGCTGGGTTTATTTTTCAGGGCTTCTTCCTATTCTTTCAGGAAGAAGAAAGAATCTCTTCTTCCTGGAATGTCCAAGTTACAGAAACCTGCAGGAACTCTGCCTTCCTTTACCTTCAGTCTTCCCTGCCCTGCTCGTTTTTCCTGCCCTGTGAGCCTAAATCTCTCCCTTACAGACCCATTTCCACAAGGTGAGATACGGAGAATAAGGGAGGAAAGGAGCTAAAGGAATCCTTTTTCACGCCCTGTGATTTATTACAAAGAGAGCCATGCACCCTTCCCTCCAGCTCTGTACGGCTGCGTTGGTTCATTGGATCAGCACCGGGTGAATCTCAAGATAATCTCCACACACACAAAGCCAGGGAGCTCCAACCACGCCTGGCACCACCAGCAGGGTCAGGATGTGGGGTTGGGAAGGCAGAGGGGAAGGGGGAGCACTGTTTTAGAGGGCAGACAGGGGATAGCTGGTCCCTCTGGCTGCTGTCCCTTGCAGGCAGCGCCATGGGGCTGCAGCAGGGATGGCAAAGGCAAGGGCAGCACGCACAAGGCTTGCTTCTCTTCACAAATATCACCTCAGA